GTCTCAGGGCTCAGCCAGCCCGGCTCCGGCTGGGCTGGCCCCGCTGCGGGAGCCCTGCGGCGGCGACGTGGGCACCTCCCCACAAACACCACCGGCACCAATGCACCTACTCACCCCTTCTCTTATTTTGCTCCTTGTCAAGCTGCCCCGTACCTCCAGTGACAGTCACTGCCCAGAGCAGCTTCAAGCCTGCCCTCAGCCCGGAGAGCTGCTTTGTAGCCTCATGATGTTTCATTAATGTCGCTGCCAAATCTCCCTTCCCCTGCCTCACCCTCCAGTCACTGTAAAGCCCCATGGATTTGTCCTATAATCTTTTTTAACAAATCCCCCTCAAAGTATCAGCCCCAAGCTGCTCCTTATCTCTGCTGTTTGGTCTCCACCAGCAGCCACAAGGCAAGAGTAGAGAAGGTCCCCACATGCATCAGAGGAGGGAGGTCCCTCTGGACACTTTTCCAGTCCCAGCTTCCCAGGCCTAGCCATGCCTTTCGCCTGGAAATGCCACCAGTCCCCATGAGTCTCTTTTTTCTTTTCCTCACAGCTTGTCATACAGCTGTCCTGGTTGGCACTGGGGTTCTGTGTCCTACAGCGTTTGGAGAAACCTCTGTAGTTAGCCTTGGAAATACTGTTCATGGCAAGGCCAAATGAAGGACACAAACTGGGATCCCGCCAAGCACAGGGCTCTGTGCATGCCTCAGAGAGGCAAGCAGGTTATGGCCCAGGTCACCGGCATCATCCCAGCTGCTGGCAGGAGTGAAAAGGACACCTAGAGCCACCCAATTCACCCAGTGACTGATGCACATGCCTGAATTTCTTCAGGCTGAGGAAGCCTGATGGTACCAGATCAGACTAATCTAGAAGCCAGTATCTACACTACCTGCTCACATGTCTTTCTCACGGGTGTGCAAGCTGCAGGCAGCTCAGGAAGGGATCACAGGCACCATCGCCGAGCTCCCCTACAAGCCCATGTTCGCTTTGCATTCTGAGATACACACAAACCACTGAACTCTTATACCATCTAGCTGCTGTCAGACCTAGCTTTCTGGGCACCAGTTTGGGTCCAAGATCAGTGCCACTGTCCCCTTAGAATGCACTCAGCCTGTCTCCATCAGGCAAGACATTAGCTCTGTGTCTCAGCACGTTTTCAGTCTCAGTGATGCTTCTTTTATTGCTGTCTCCCGCTCTGCAGTCATTAAAGCTGCAAGTAACGCCCCTTAATCCACTTCACAAAGTATTGCTAACTCCAACTACACCTCAGCCCCTTTTCAAAATAGCTCTCCTGCTCAGGTCACAAGCTCCTCTTGCCCTAGGCAAGTTCTAGCCTCACAGAGCAGGACAATTTTCCTGTTTAAGATTTCCAGTGTGAAGGTAACAGCAATGAACAGAACACAGAAGTTCAGACATTATGAAGATTTAAAGTGAGGGTTTTGTTCATTCTGTGATTATTGCAGCATATGAGAACCTAGGCTCTCAGACGTTTGCCTGATGCACATCAACTGTGAGAATGAAGCAGGAAT